TAAGATATCATTTGAAGATATAAAGGGAAAAACTAAATATGTTAGATTTTCAAAAACTAAAAGAGGATTAATACCAACAATTTTAAAATTACTTATAAAACAAAGAAAACAAGCAAAAAAAGATCGTAGTAGATATGATAAATCTGATATAGCATATGTTAATGAATTAACTGAGAGTCATATGAATCAAGGAGATTCTGAAAATTTAGCTATTACAAAAACATTAGCATTTATTGAAAAAAATTATAATTATTATAATATTTTACAAGATGTTTTAAAGAGAATAGCCAATTCTATTTATGGTCAATTCAGTAATCAATATTCTATTATATGTGATTATGAAGTATCAGCCAGTGTCACTGCATTTGCTAGAAATTACATAACAATGGCAACTGAATACATGAAAAATAAAGAGATTTCTGAATCGATAAAAGAAAAGAAATTTATTTGGAAATATACCAACACTGATTCAATATTTTTTTCTTTATCACCCATATTGATAAATGAAATTATTAAAAAATATGAATTTCGATTATTAGATAAAAATGTAAATGAAGAAGATTTTAGTAAAATAATATATGATATTAGAAAAGAGATAGTACTTGTATTATATGAAGAAGGTATTAATTTACAAAATGAAATCAATGGATGGATGGCTAATAAAATGGAATCTCCTTATATTGTTATGGAAATGGAAAAAGTTATTAGTTCAAATTTATATATATCAAAAAAGAAATATAATGGATTAATATATGATAAACCTGAATATTATTACGATAATGAATGGAAAGGTTTAGATAATCATATTAAAGAAGTATTAAAAGTTGATAATGTGACAAAAGAAATGATTGATGAATACATTAAGACAGCAAATGAATATACTTTATTATCACATGGTAGAAAATTTGATAATTTATTAGCAAAAGGAACAGATTTAGTTAGACGAAATGCAATTTTAATAACTCGTGTGATATTGAAAAAATTACTTTATACGATATTTGATTACAAAGAATATAGTAAATATTTATATAATAAAAAATTCACAAAAATAGAGGAATATCAGAATTTTATTAATTTTAATGAAGATGAATGGTGCAGAGATATAAGTAAAAAAATAGTTGAAGATTTTATTAAATATCTTTATTCAAAAGAAACTGAATTGGAATTAGAATTATTTGAACAAAATGCAAGAAACAACGAAGAAGAAGATAATGGTGAAATGACATTTATTGAATTAACAAATCATAGATGTTTTAAATATAATAATCAAGGAAAATGGGAGATTGTAAATAATAAAATTGTTCTTTATGATGAAAAAGGAAATTTAATTGATTTTTCTAGAAATAGAGAAAATCAAAAAGGATGGGAACGATCAGATCGAGATTATATTTATTTACAAAAAGATGAATTAAAAGAAGATGGTTCAGTAATTGAATATAAAGAAGTTGAATTAAAACAAGTATCCGATGAAGACACAACATCTTATGTTAAGAAATTTGTTGCTGATATGAAATTAATTGGTGTTGAAGTACCAAAACCA